ATAATTGAAAATCTTTTTCCTAAAACTTTGTAGCAACTTTAATATCATCTTTCTTCGTTTCATAAGTTTCTTCCAAAAGCCAAACTATTTGATCAAAGTGTATTCGACCAATAAAGAAAGATCATTTTATATTTCTGCTATTAAAAAAAAAAAAAAAAAAAAGAAACCCGTTTTGGGATGGTGCCATGCACCGAAGTTACTGGAAGCAACTCATTTTTTTTCTACAACGTGCTTGCAGAAATTTTTTTTTCTATAAAACGGAAATCCTTAAAACTGGAAGTCCCTCTCGAAATCGTAGGCACAAAAAACACTCCACTTTCATTTCCTCTTCATCAAGACTACTAAACCATGAAATCTTTCCCCAAAAACCGCGACACGAGTGAAAACAAAGCTTCATTGTGAAATTAAACAAGGTGAACACGTCATAAAAATAGATATTCAGACCTCGGTTGAACATATTACGCAAGACCGAATTGTCGAGCGGAAGCCTACTTTACTGACAAGATTGCCCACGCAAGTTTGCTGTTACCCAAACAGAAATTTAGAGAGGATTATCAGATTTTTCTTTTACTGCAATTATCACGTGCTGGTTACTTCTTGATTACGCAGCCAGCTTTCAACATACAATATCTCAATAATATCATTTTACATGACTTATTTTACAATGTACTTTTACAAGTAATGCCTTGAAAATTTACAGTTTCTGTAAGACGGAAATCCGTGGATTCGAGTGCAGTTTTAGCGAGCACGTAGCGTGGTTTGGAGCAATATTGGGTACTTCAGTTAATAGGGGTTAAAAAGACAACTCTCATTACTTTCCGTTTACTTAACAAACTTTTTATTTGTCTAAACTACTCTGTCCTTTAACCCTGTTTACCGCCTTGCATACACCGAGGATTACCTCGGAAATACAACTACGTGATGTACAGCACGGACATGAACTAAACTCTTTGTCAACAAATTAAGGGAAGGATCAAAACCTCGAGAAAAACAACACCCAAATCTTTAAAAATAACACAGAATTAATTAACTGCAGCTGGAATCTTCTTTACGCGGGTTCAACAATTCGGATATTGAAATTTTGCATATCAAAAATAGCAGTCAAAAGGTACGAATTCCGGCCTATGCGAACCCAATATAGATGATGACACGATCAGACAAAAACTCGGTATCACTTCCTAAATCAACAGACAGAGAAAGAATATTATGATTTGGCCAACGGATAGTTCCCTGAAATGCTGGAATCCTACCAAATATATGTATATATATGTGTGTATATATATATATATATATATATAATTTTTTCCTTTTTCCTCTCATAATATTTATTCTGCTCTGCTTCAACGTATTGAGCACTGTTCCATGCGAAAATCGACTTGCAGACTTCCTATATATATATATATATATACATATATATAGAGCGATTCTCTCAATAAAAAAAAGGTAACAAAAAGTGCTCCTTTCCGAATCATTTTCGTTAAATTCAAGTTTCTTTTCCCTGTGCTGTCAAGAAAGCATATTTCCATTTTTAAGAGTACTATGAACAGGAAACTTAATCATGTTATCAGGGCTAGGAAAGATTGATGAATTTTTACAAATTTTTAAAACTTTTTCCGTGGAATTTTCAGCATGCCACCGTTTTGCACGTGAGTGACAAAACGGACCTTAACATTTCAGGTCCTTCTGTGGTTAGATTCAACAGTTTTGGAAAGTCCAGTATTTTGATGCGTGAAGTATCATCTATAGAAAAGCGAAGTGACCTCATTTTGTAAAAGTCAGTGGGCACAGAGAAAATTTATTTCGCATCAACGTAAGCCTTAAAATAGGAAAAAATTAGCACCATCTGTCGCATGAGTATGAAAGTCCAAATTAGAATTGAACAATGTTAAAGTTTCTGTTTTAAGATGTTGCACAGGTTTCGAAAATGTGATGGTATGCAGAAATTATGCGAGGTATTTCACGTCTGTACTTAAAACACGAGTTTAAAAATAAACAAAAGAGAGGGCGAGGTTTGAGTTACAAGAACGAAACTAACTGTGATTTTATCACTGCCTGTTTAAAAATAGACCTGATCTCACTACATTCAACAATCTGTGAACTCAAAGAAAAAAGTATTTCTACAAATCTAAACGTGCCGTTGAAGAAAAAAAGATTAGCAAATTTGTATCTTGATGCAATTAACGGTCAACGCATGTTTCGCAAGGAATATTTCCGGCAAGCGTTACGCACTTCCTTAAGAATAACATTTCTATGTCTTCAATCTATCATGATCTCACTTTTCACGGCTAATTTTTGCAACTTAGTGGAACATTAACATGGAAATATATAAGATGCGTTCATCTTTTCTTTATTACTAGTTGAGTTACAGCACCCTCTACTTGAAAGCACTGATTACAACAACAAAATTAAAGAAAAATCCTCTCCTCCTCTCTTGAAGCTTTTGCCAACTTCTATCAATTTCTAATTGTACTTTTGGTAGCATTTCAGTATGAGGGATCCAGTTATTAAGCTGTAGCTTTTTCTTACTGATAAAGAGCTGTCCGCTAAACTCCTAAAAATCAACCGACGAAATCCTTGTGCTAAAATTCTACTGAATAGAGGTATTTCTAACTTCGTTGTTCAAAGACTAGCGAACTCTAGAAACAAGTACTTTTGTCGTTTGAACTATTTAACTTAACAGTACTAAAATGACAACTTAAATGACCGAGACAACGGAAAGATTACGATACACTTTTATTGCAAACGGGAACGGCAAAATCCAACCCAAGACTCAATAACTTCTCTTCAAATCTTTTATTATTCAGTAAGTCAACAAAAAAACACCTCAGGATTTAGAGGCAGGAGGCAAAAGTTCAGTTCTTAGCCTATGGCACTCAAAAGCGAGCGTGAAGCATGTTCGAAACCTCCAGAGTTTTCTCTTTAACACACACAAAAAAAAAATTACAAATATGGCATTCCAAGATTACCCGTACAAGAGAAGTGAAACGCAAAACAGAACAGTACTGTTCTTAGCACGTAGAAAAAAACGGGAGCAGTTTTATATCCAGTGGAGTTTTGCTTCGGTCTTGGCTTGCTTCACCGTGGGAGATAGGGGAAACCAAATTGGAAACTAAATTTAACAGATAAAAAAACCGAAGGTAAAAACTACCTGGCTTGATTTTTGTCCAACAGAAAAAAAAATGGGAGCCGTTTATTTCCAATGGAGTTTTGCTTCGATACTTGCTTGCTTCACCGTGAGAGATAGAGGAAAACAAATTGGACGCTATATAAATTTAGTCGATAAAGAAACGAACTTAAAAACTACCTGGCTCAGTTTTTGTCCACCCTTGAGGAAAAAAAACAAATTATTTTTACAGGCGATGAATATAAACGGAATGGATATAAACGCCAAAGGAATTGTTGTATTTTTTCCTTAACGATGATGACGTGTTTGAGGATGGATCAAATGCATGGTACTACCACGACTGCAACAACGGATGATTGAAAAACTAAACAGAATTTCGTGAACATATTTTCTACAGATATCAGCACAACTTCCTGGCACACCAGCTTGAACTTTCTTCTAAGAATATAACAAAAAAATCGGGAAAGACCTGCGAGTCAAAAGAAACTTCCTCTCTAAACAGGAATCACTCAAAATATCGAAAGAAAGAAAAACAAATTGATATAAAATTAGTAAATTTCCGATAATTTGTATCATTTAAAAACTCCTGCTTTGTTGCCTAATTGCTCGCCTCCACTGTCCAATACTGTGCTTCTAATATTTAACGACATCGCAGGTTCTCGTCCATTTAGACTTCCTACACCCCCTACATGCCATCAATATAAAATAACTTCCTCTAAAATGCCAGTAACAATGCCCAAATTTTATTCTACGCCTGCAAGCTTTGTGTGACTCGTTCCTTATATCAGAGCAAAACTTTGCATATCATTCACAATGTAACGAGGCCTAAGTTTCTTTCTCTGCGGCTTTTCTTCTCGTCGAAACAATGGACAAAAGTAATTTTGAAGCCATGTGATTTTTAACAAGTCCACAAAACTTCAATATTGTTAATGACTCTGAAAAAAGAGGAAGTCCTTCCGTGTCCTAATATTTGCCTTCAGAGGACACCAACTCAGATCAAAAACAAAGAGAGAACCGAAATGACTAAAGAAATTACTTGAAAATCTTAAAACCTATTATTTGCAAGTGTTTTATTTTTTTTTCCGTTTTATGCAGCAACAGTACGGATTACTGAGAAAGTTGGCACTTAATAATCGATACCAATTTATTGAGTGCGGAGTCGATTTTCACCCTCAACTTTAAAAATTCGACACTAACTTTCACTTAATTCGAATGTTTTAGCATCGCTCTTTCAACCGAAACACTTTAATATCGTAAAACGGTAACAACAACAACAACAACAAAAGCGTTCTACTTTTTTCCTAACTAAGAGTTCTTCGTTTCAACCACAATGCTTCCTCGCGTCGGTAAGACATTTGAGAAAAGTACCATCAAGAAAAACTATTAATTCACGAAACGTCGAAAGGAAAAACCAAGTCTCAAAAATGTTTGATAACTGCGAATCGATTCTTCACAGTGGATGAAGGGTTGAAGAACAATCGAAGCTCTACGGACATCAACTTTTACTACATGCCTTAAGAAAATAGACATAGAATGTACTTCCACGCCTGGTGAACTTGTAATCACACATTTACTCTTTGGAGCAATTTCCAATTGAGTCTCAAAAGTAATCGGGTTTTGCGCTCTGTGATTGGTCCAGCAGAAAAGTTGCACCATCCTCTCGATTAATCAGATGGAAAACGAAAGAAAATGGCGACCTGGTCACACGCGTTTTCCCGCGCTTCAAGAAGTTTGCTTCTTTTTGCTCTCAGTTCTCATTGGCTACTGAAAATATAAACCTTTGTTCTGGTTGGCACTGTGATTATTATAGTTTTGGTTTTTCAACGCTTGATTTAAGACTGCTCCATAAATGAGTATGAGAGTATAATTTTCCAACCTTGGATTATGAAGAACATCCTGTCATCTGTTCCTGCAGCGCTTGTTGCACGTGCTCGGCCAGTTTTCTTCTTTTTCTTTTACGGATTCGCTTTTTCTAAGAAGGAGAGAATTAATTTTATATTATTATTATTAAGATTCAAGATATCCTGAAAATTTATCGCAGGGGGGGGGGAGGGGAATGTGGGTCGGGAGATTGTGTGGAAGGGGAGGTCACATGGTTTTTAGGGGGGAACGGATGAGGATCAGTCATCGCCATCAGAGTATAGACAAGGTCTATAGAACATTGACTGCCAATCTACTGCTAATGACGGGGAAGGATCAGAAGAAAATTGCAGAGCCCCATGGGGTTTCTGTTCTCAGACCGCGCAAATTCTGGTGATTTCCCGTTGTTTTTATTGCAAAGGACGGCTAAGAGATGTACAATGATTTGAAACGCCCGTGCTAAGCCATTATTCTTGCCAATTGATCATTTGGGTCATCGTCATCGTCATCGTCATCGTCATCGTCATCGTCATCGTCATCGTCATTGTCTTCGTCATCATCATCATCATTATTATCATCACTATCATAATAACAATAAACAGCTAGGTATTCCCACCTTAGTTTCATCACCAGTCTTCCTCTTCTTGCTTTTCAACATGGACAGAGGGTTTGGTCCCCCGGGCCTCTTCCGTTTACGTTTCGGTTGAGCATCCGTAGCGGAGTCCTTCAGTCGAACTAACGTTTCTTTCTCGTGAGCAGAGGGCTGCAGACGGGAAATTTGAACCTTAAACGCAAAAGATGGCATTGATTAGAATGAAATAAAGCGTGAAACTCAAAACAAGTGGTTTGGAAGATAAGATATTCTAAATCCGAAGGGGGGACGACGTCGGCCAAGGTAAAACATGGCAAAGGCTTAACCCTTTACAACCTAACATCAGTATGTATATTCTCCTTACTGTTCTCTATACTTACCCTAGGGTGCTGACAAGGAGAATTTGTTTAACAAGCAAGAGCTTTTTTAATTGGTGATCATTTCTTTTATTCTCGTGCCCTTAATGTATGATTCAAAGGGTGATATTGTAAGGAGAAATTAGATGCTGATTACTCTTAGGGGGTCAAAGTTACCGGAGAAAAAACTGCGCTTGTCTTTGAAAGAAGCATCAGGCTGCAGATAAGTCGCTTGTTTATTGGAATATGCAACATGGCCGTGCATCGTTTCTTACTGAGCATAGGTTCGCGCGACATCGCATGGCTTCCTACTTCAAAAACAACAGAAAAAGTGGCATATCTTAGAAAAAGAAAACGACAAAAAATAATGGCACGTACTGTATATTCTCAATTTAATTTTAGACCAAAACAAGTGAAGGGAAAAAAACTTATCGCAGCTTCCCATTCGACCGGAAAAAACAAGTTACGAAACGCTGCGAAACCGCGACACTATGCTTCGTTTTATGTTTACTTTCTTTTAATGCCTTTAAAATGTGTCCTGAGGGCAACACTATAAAGAGAATCACAATCAAGAAAGAATGAAATAATGAGGGTAAATTCGAATAAAGACGGAAAATCCAGATTTCAGGAAACAAACTTGAACGTGTCCGGCGAAATCGCCGTCACGAACTCTTGTCCAAATTTTGTCACGCGACGTCGGGAAAAACAACCTTTCTTTTCCTTTTTTTTTTTCCTTTGACCGGGCAAATAAAATTTTACATTCAAACGAGCCTTAAAAGAAGAGTAACACTACTAATATATATAAAAAACCGAGCACTGTTTTAATATCTCCTTTGGTCTCAAAAGTAAGAACAAATAAAAAAAACTTCTGTTATCTTAATAACGTGACAAAATGTTCAAGTGGAACTGATGCACGAGCGACGCGAGTGATTTTCGCTACAAAGTTCAAGATCCGGTTGAAAACTCGAGTGGAATCGCCCAATCTTTAAGTGTACAACTCGCTTGACTCGTGTTTTCCATTCTACTTTGAAGCATACCAAGGACTTTGCCCGAGTTTTTGACTCTGTAGTAAGTTTTGAATCTCCGGAAAATGGAGACTTCATGTCTCTCATACCGGTCGAGTGCCAAGAACAACTGAACAACCGAGATACGCCCCACATATCGACACGTCACAGCCAGGCAAATTAAAGGAATTCTCATTTCCTTGTAAAAAAATTTGATCACATTCTTTCCGGTAGATGTTACGCGAAGAGTTCAGTTAGGGTCGGACACAAAACCCGCACGAAAAAAAATAATGAAATGGAGATAAAATGTTTCCCGACTCGGAAAAACATTTATGAATGTGAATACTGACAATTGAGGGGAAAATATTGCAAAGAACTACCATTAAAACGAAATACCTTTCATTCCAATACTGAGTGTGCTTCTTCACTTGGCCGGTTAGCGAGTGAAAAACGATTTTCCTGACCAAACCTTCGCAGCGTTGTATCAAAGCATTATGATATATTACATGACATACATGTAGTCCGTAGAAAATTATCTCTTGCACTTGCGTGTTTCATGAGCCCAAATTTTGTTTTCTATTTATCAGTTCAAACGATAATCAAAGCCTGCCCGGCAGAAATAACAGCCATATGAAGTTTGCACCCCGAAAACAACGTTTTAATCGACTTTTTAGCACTTTACGAACAAAGTGCAACTCTTCGCTCGGCCAATGAGCTGACGAGGTAATTTAAAGAGGTTGTTGAGATGGCTTTTCAGGTAATTACACAATTTTGTCGATGACACAACTTTTCAATGGCAGTAAGCAAAATGCTACGAATCTGGTTTTTTTTTTCTTTTAATTTTTTTGTTTTTGTTTTTTAAAAATGCATGGTTTATTTGCAGTGTTTTGATGAAATAAAACGGTGAAACTTTTCCAAAGTAAGACTCTAAAAGCTTCTGACTAAAAATATTCGAGTTAAGGATACACTTGGCAAAACACGTGAACAACTCACACGTGTAACTAAACAAACCATGTCGGTTAGAGAGTGTATCCTGTGAAATGTTTCATGACTCCAATTGTCGACATTGCTCAAATATTCTAGAGGTGTACAAGACGCGTGTCACATACATATTTGACCCTAATAATAGCCTATCTCTCTATAGAGTCTCTGTGACTCTGTGGTAGAGCATCGGAGTGCGGAATCCGAAGGTTTGAGGTTCGATTCTTCATGGGGACTTAGAATAGTTTCTTTGTCGCGCGCTCGTGACAAGACGAATAAACATCTTCCTATATTTGATTACCGAGCTCAAACTGCACCGCACAATTGTTTTTTAAAGAATCTATTTGTTTTAAACAATAATCAAAAGATAAAACTTCTTGAGTGAGACGTCTTCAACAGTAACGCTCGCGTGTGCTGCAGTAAATACACGCGCGTAAAGCACGTGTAATTCGTACACGCACTTCCAGTGCGTGCACTTTCGCGGGGTTTCGTCTATTTGAAAACGTGTTTTGTTAATCTCTTTATGTATATGCGTGTACTCTTTCACACGGATTCAACGGCTGAGGAAGATTGCATTTCAACCTATCCCCTAAATGATGATAAGGAAGAGCCAATCAAAATACTGATATAATTCAGCCTATCACATGTATATTAACCCTTTAACTCTAAGAAATGATTAACATGTAAATTCTCCCCACAATATTCACATGTTATCCAGCAAACAGGTAATGAGAATACTTAAACTTATCAGGTAAAAGTTGTTATTGTAATCTAACACCAAATTCTCCAAACTAAATCATAAGGTAATGTGCAAAAGCTAGAGGGGAGAATTAACAATCAGATCTTGGGAGTTTAAGGGTTCAAAGAGATGACAAACCTGGTCAGAGGCTTGATGAGACGCCCTTGAAGGTTTCTCCAGGAGTATTGTGTTGTGGTTAATAAATAAAAGTGGTACTCCTGTAAAATATTTGAACAAAGTCAGGAAAATCATGAATTTTATAATTAAGGGCTACCCAAAAAAATCCTTCTACAATCAAAAAAAAGAAGATTATTAGGTGATGATCAGAGCAGCAATGGTTTGTAAACTGCATATCATAGTGTTAGGTGTGCAACCTGGTCTTAAAACACCTTAACCCTTTAACCCCTAAGAGTGACCAGCATCTAATTTCTCCTTACAACTTCACCCCTCAATCATGTTTTATGGTCATGAGAATAAAGGAAATTATCACCAACTAAAGAAACTCTTGATTGCTGAACAAATTCTCCTAGTCAGCACCTTAGGAAATGTATAGAGAACAGTAATGAGAATATGGATGTTGATGTCAGGGTGTAAAGGGTTAAGGAGACAAATTCACTGTAGAGGATAAGAATTAAATGAAACAGAGTGTTACCTGGAATTTTCTGCAAGTGACTTCTGAGAGTTCTGTCTTGTGAGGCCACAAAGTAGCCATTTCTATTTTCAGTTCCTTTCAAAGAGAAGCAACAGGAAGAATTAACATGTATTAAAGGATCTTGAGCAACATATTGCAATTTGTTAGTCAAGGCAAATAAATCATTTGCCAAAGCTATGCCAACTGGGATATAATCTGTGTGGCTTACAAAAAGAACAAGACAGGACAATTGAGGTGTAAACAAAGGATGAACTGCAAGAAATTAACCTGGCTGTAATCTCTCACTGAACAGAAGCAGAGCAACATGGAACCTAAATGCTATGTTATTATAAAGCAACTGGTGTTGATGGTGATGTCATCTGATCAATGTGTTTGTCCTCCAATCGATCAATGATGCAATCAAAATGTGCATACAATTAATTTCATTATACAGTTACCTATCATATTCATAATACATTCTGCAGCTGGCACAGCTTCCTTATGGTGGCCACATTTCCGCAGCTGAAATCTCTTTAAAATCAGCACAGCGCCTGCCAGCTGAGGACCAAGTGCCTTTCCTTCTTCTATTACACATTTTGTCGTCACTTGTCACAAGTCAAGTTAAATTTGTACAAAAAATAACTTTAACCCTTTAACTCCTGGAAGTGATTTACATGTAACTTCTCCCAACAATATTCACACATTATCCCACAAACAGGTCATGAGATTACTAAAACTTATCAGTTAAAGGTTGTTATCATGATATACCACCAAATTATTGTAACTTCATTACAAGGAAATGTGAAACAGCTAGATGGGAGAATTAATAATCAGATCATGGGAGTGAAAGGGTTTAAGGCTGTAAACATACATTTTGGCTTTGAGACTCAAATAGCATGCGTTCTAGCAATAGTTCATTCATCTAGAATCTGTAAAGCCTGTAAAAATTTACCAACTTCTGATTTCATTCTTGTACAACATACCAGTTTTTAACTAAAATATGTAAGTGGTACCTACTGTTCCCTTGTTCTCTAGAAATTTGTTTTATCTTCATAACAAATCAAAAGTTGTAACTCCTTGCTATTACCAAGGCTTTACTTTGATTCTAATGCCAGGTATGATTTCTGAATAACAGGAAAATGTTGTGTCCAAGTTCTGATGTCTTCTTTTGCATTTACCATCATGAATCATCAGCTTCTAAATAACTATATTTTCTTGTGACAGCAATCAAATAAACCCTTGAATCACTCTTTTGACTAACTGATAAAGAATGCTACCTTTGCCACTTTGTGACCATACATGTAACTCTACCCCATTAATATTTTGAGTCAATTATTCCAAAACGAAAAATTACCTTTAATGAGAAGGAAGGCAGAAAATGTTACTTTGGTAAGATAGACAAAGACCAAATTAGAAAGAATTCACATTCAAGAAATGTCATAGTTGGTTTACAATGTAAAGATTTAAACAGATTGCGGTGGACAAACTTGAAGTTGCTGTTCCTTTAAGCAAAGGTTTCCTACTCCTAAGAGAAGTAGGAGTTGGAAACCTAGAAAAGGATAACTCACTAAAATGGTCTCATTTCCACAAAGTAAGCGTTCAGACAAGAAGCAATACACTGTACCTGGAAGTAAGGTGAGGTATTTTTTATTGAGAAGTTGACTGGATTTTTTCCTCTGAAAAGCAGTCGTAAATATTCATATTCCCATAAAACTCTTTTATTTTCCCCATGACGCTTCTTACGCCAGATGATCATCTCACAGCTGAAGCTTGGGCCGCCAAAGCACTGGCGGCCCAAGCACTGCCCCAAAACACTGGCGGCCCAAAAGAATTAAAAAAAAAAAAAGTAGCGCTATTTTGTTTCAAGGGTTGGTACAGGTATGTGCATGTTTCTTTCACGTATTTTCTTGAACAAGTACAGAGTAATTTTGAACTTTCATGAATAAAGGATACATAACTGAACAGATCCATCCAAGTATTTGGGAAGCTGTTCCTTGATATTGATCTTGGTCTGCAGTGCTGCCTGACAGAAAGTGCCGTCAACTGAGAACAGAACAACACCGAAATAAAATTACACTCGCAAGCATGGCCGACCAGTTAAACTGCCGGAAGTCACATAAAATCGGTGTGCAAAACACACAGACGCTCTCCATTGACTCCAAACTGCGACAGGTTAGAGAAGAAAATGTGTTTAACAATTCCACTCACCTAAAATTTGATAAGGTTCAAATATCCCGAAGGAATTTTTGAACAAAGTTAAATATCTCCTCGCATGCTTCACCCGTTTGACTTTCATTTTCAACGCTTAGGGAAGTAACCGCTGGTTGGTGTGTTTCTTGTCTCAGCTAACGAATGCCACGTGATGTTCTTAGTTCGTTCTCTTCGAGCGTGGACGGGACCAACATGGCTGCCCTGTTCTTTGTTCTCGCCGTTTTAGCTGTTTCTGCGCCTCTAAAGTCATCTGGTAAGCTGAAAATAACTTTAATTGAACGTTAAATCTAAAGTGTAGGGTAATTATAAAGTTAAAAGTCTCCACCGGGAAGTTAATGTGAGAAATTTTCAGCACTTTTTTTCGCCACACGAGGCAGGACTCTATTGGTCAATCTACTTTGACCTTTTCTAGAGTGTTTTTTGCTTTTCAAACTTCCTAATTTTTATCAGACGCTGTACAATTATTGATTGACACATTTTGCCGTCTACATCGTTTTGTAACATTCAGCGACGTGTTACTGTATTTGATGAAGGCGAGCACAACCTCCAGAATAAAACTGAAGTAACATTATGGATGAAATGCCTTGAGTGTGTCACGAAATGTCTTCTTAACGTTGATTTTCACTTTGTCGTTTGAATTAGGTGATGCTTGCGTAGGAGCTAGGCCAACCACAGACATTTATACCACGAGGAACATTTTGCTGTCATCAGAGAGTGTGTTCATTGTTGAATTTTCCCTCAAATGTGATAATGGTGCAAAGGTACGGAATATTTGCGGATGGGTGAAGTAGTCTGTAGTTTGATGGTCTTATTTTTATGCTGTCTGAAAAATTTCCATGATATGAGTACCAGAGAGAAAAACACAATTCAAGAAACTATCGGATAGTTCTGCATAGATACAACTGTAGCTGAGAGAGAGTTTACATGTACTTTAAAAATAGAACAATTTTTTGTAGAATTTAAGAAGTTACTCAAGACTCCTTTGTTTTTGTTAAACCATTTTCTTTGATTAGTGAAGAAGGGAAAGACCCTTGCACAACCCCATGCTAAATTTGTATACACTTAGAATTACAAGGAAAAAGGAAATGATCACTGACTAATGAAGCTCTTGACTGTTAAACAAATTCTCCTTGTCAGCACTTCACATGTTCCTCAAATGTATGAAGAACAGAATATGTTTACTGATGTAAGGGTGTAGAGGGTTTATTTGCATAACTGGAACCAATTGCTCATTTGTGCACCATGAAGAACATTAAATTATGATTGGTTATTGTGATTGCCATAGATGCATGCTAACTTTTTCAACATGGAACATAAAAGCATACCAATAAAAAATGGTGCAATGCTTACAAGATAAGGAAACTCCTAATATATTTCTTAAGACATTTATGATATATGTAAATCAACCACTTTATTGTTCATTGTTAAACTTTTCAAATTGCTGAAAAGTCTTGGGAATCATTGCATGACTTCAGTGGCTCACTTGAGATTTTTTGGTAAGCAAACTGAACAGTTTTGCTCTTTAAATGCAGGTAAAGGAATTTATTCTTTCATATGTTTTATTATGTAAACAGGATGTGAATCTGTATGCTGAAGTGAATGGAAAAGTTATGCCAGTTACAAGATCGACTGATGATGCAAAATACCAGGTTTGTAATTATTTGTAGCTGATTTTAGAAAGATCAATGTGAACTTGGCAGGGAATAATTCCTATGTACCTCACACAGGCTGATTGGCTAGGTCTAAGTAAACAGCAAATGCATTTACTTTTCAACTCAGAACAGCTGATGAGATAAAACTGTGCTTCAAGAGTTTAATTTCTCATAATTTTCAATTTACTGGCATTGAAAGGAATAAACTACCGTGTAGTTTTTCAGTTGTGGTATATTCTAAAATGATAATGAACCCCAGTGTCAGTGAAAGTGGTACATACTGTATCTACCTTGCTGCCTTGTGGCTTAGTAAAAATCAACTACTTTTCACCTCCACATCAGTAAATAAATGTAAAATGTTCTTCCCCATGGATGGAAAACTAGTCCATCACAAGTTACCCTGGGCATTATCAGGCTTCTCTAAAAGTTACAGAGTTAGCTGCTACCCATTCAAACTCCTGGGTGAAGGGAGGCATCGTCATAGTGAAATGTCTTATCCAAGAACGCAGGACAAGATTTAGCCAGGTTGCAAGGCCAGATCTCTTGACATTAAGTCCAGAGTGCTAGCCTTTTGACCAGTGCATCTTCAAAATTGTTGGCTCAGTGGCATATTTGACCCTTAACCCATTGAGCCCCACACCTTAGAGCTCAGACCACCCCCTGAAATTCCAGAGAAAATGGCTGCCACAGTGAACACACAGACCACTGCCAAAATAATTTAAGATTTTAAGGTCTTCATTTCACTCTACTGAAGGGAAACTGCACAAAGTTGCATATTAAATAATATACTTTCCCCCTGTCAAATTTTATTTTCAATTTGAGCATCAGGCTCTCTCAAAAAAAATTCTAAAGCTAGAGAACGGATTCAACTTCATGATGTACAGCGAGTCATTGGCAAGGTTGCCTTCAGCTTTGAAAGTATTTATCAGTATGATGACTCTCTTTTGCACTCTTATTCCATCAGAATTATGTAAAAAGGTTTCCCTCAAATACAACACCAAAAGACAGATCGCAAATTCCTCCTCAACAAAAGGAATCCTAAACTTTCTAACGCGGGTCAATTTTGAATTTGCCCGCCATAGCGACATCGCGACACGTCACAAGGCGCAGCTATAAAATTACTTTTTGCAAGTCATGAGCAAGAACAAACCAATTTTTACGCCTAAATGAAAAGTTTCACTTTGAACAATGCATATATTTTCTTCGCTTAGGCAAACTTTTGCTCCAAGCGAGTTACAAGGGGGCAAACTTTGCAGAGGAGATCGTTTCGGTCTTCTGCGGTCGGGTCAGCAAGATGTAAATATTTCCCGAGAGTCATGAAGTGGTGCTCTGGGATCGTTTTTTTAAGCAATCAACTCCAACAAACTCGTCAGAATCCCAGTACATTGCCAGCTGAGGAAGTTCATGGATTCCAATGAGAATGTTTAGCCCGAGATACGCTGAAATTTTTCGCTTGGGTAGATGTGAACGATCGATCCCATTTCGAACGAGCGTACGCGACGGTGTATCGGACGTCTTTGTCAATGTAAGCATCGTCGATAAATACATTAAAGAAATCTTTGGCAGTTGCATTTTCTCCGAGATCTCTGGTCGGGCCACGACGAATGGAGAATTCCTCAACATTAATTTGTCGCAATTAGCTAGACCATTGAAGAGCATTTGGTCGGCTTTCTTCTGCGGCAGATTCTTCATCACTACTAGCGTCGCTTTCTTCTTACTCTTCACTAGCGTATAGCTCAACATCGGAATCGCTTCCCCTTTCTTGCGACCATAGGTCGAAAAAGTCTTCCATCTCGTCATCCACATTTCGAAGCAAGTTTTGTTCATGCTGTGCTTGACGAGCTTGTCGCTTTTTTCAATTTCTTCGATGATAAATCCAGCGAAGACTTCTTGCTCTTCATCGGATGAAAATTAACTTTCATCAATTCTTCCAGAAGCCATGTCTAAGACCACGACATATTTTTGAAAAATTTGTAAAAAATCGCATGGTAAACGTGTAATAGTGAGTTTGGTCTCAAACGAAAGCTTATTTTTTGCATGTCACGTTTCACTGCTTTTCAATACCCAGGGGAGTTTTGTTTCTAAGCTACAGCCAATCAAAACAAGCCAATTTTGACAGGGCGCATGAGGGCGCATTGGAATTTCAGAGGGGTTTTATTTCTGGGCGCATGAGGGCGCATCGGATGTCAATGGGTTAATACACTAACATCAGTATGCATATTCTCCTTACTGTTCTCTATACATTTCCCTGGGTGCTGACAAGGAGAATTAAACAATGAACAGCTTCTATAGTCAGTGATCATGTCTTTTATCCTCAACCTTAATATTTGATTCAGGGTAGATATTGTAAGGAGAAATTATATGTTAGTCACTCTTAGGTATTATAGGGTTAAATGAAATCCAAGGAGCTAACATGGAGTTCTTCCATCTCATGACACCCTGTTTCAATTCCCAGCTGTTAAAACCTTGAGGATTGAATCTTCTCCTGGTTCTCATCTTTTCTTTCTTTATAGCAACTAATATGCCAAATTCCATGGTAACCCAGAATCAGTGAAGCTAGAAACCATGCCTTGAGTATTTCTTTGTTCAATAATTGTCCCAAAGACATGAATGATGAATGTGAATCAGCTACCCTGAGTGTACAAAGTACATATGATTACACTATTACATGTTCTGATATGTCTTTGGATAACTCAATGTTGAACTTTTTTTTTTTAGTACCTGAATAACGCACCAACTTGCTTTTTGTTATTTTTATTATTAGGTCAGCTGGGCAGAGGAGCACAAGGAGGCTAAAGCTGGTGTCTACAAATTGAGTTTCTATGATGATGAGGGATATGCAGCCTATAGAAAGGTACACTGGTCAAATTAAGGGTGGTTTAATATTGGGAAACAATTTGGTCATTTTAATACATCTTTGTGGTCCCCACCTCCCCCCCCCATACTGCACCCAACTAGTTTGTTATAAACCTTTTTATTCATTGCAAGGACATACTGTTGGTATGGATGATTTTGAACCAGTTTGAGTCATTTCAAGTAATTTTGGATAACAATGTCTAAAACCCACTGTTCTGATTGTCAGCTCTCCCCTCTAGCTGCTACACATCCTTGTAAATTAGTTATAAGAAATTGTCCTAATATCAAGGTAACAACTTCTCCATGATAAGTTGAGTATTCTCACTACATGTTTTCTGGATACTGTTTGGATATTCTAAGGAGAAGTTATGTGTTAATCACTCCTGGAGTGGCAAAGAACTCTTGATCATATCACAGAAAAAAAATTGTCTCTGCAACCTGTTTGCTGTTAAAATATCTGCTAAGAAAATTTTATTCCTTCTAAGTCTTGTCCTTGGTGGAGACGAGGGAGGGAGTGTATCAAAACTCCTTTGTTCTACCTCTGTGTTTTTTCTTGTCCTTCTTGTTAACTATGTTAAATTTATAAGGAGAAGGATTCACACTCAACTTGCAGATGTTGAGCATTTCAAAGGGCTGTCCAGTAAATGATGACTTGTATAATTATCTGTCAATCCAATGAGAAAGATGATTACAAAATATACCGGAAGTCTGATATATGTGACTTGCTCTTTGATAATCAGAATAATCACAAACAAATGATAGGATTTTAATATATTTAGGATGGTACAAACATGTTCTCATCTACCACAATTTGCTTTTAGGCACAGAGAAGTGGTACACCAAGTGAGGCCAAGGCCTTGTTCTCCATTGATGTTAATCATCGGGTGAGGAATGCTTTCACATCCATTGTTTTTATTCCATTTTATGACATTTCTCTCTTTTAGTTACTCCTAAGAAACAATAGATTTTCTAGATGAGTGTCTAACTTCCCAAAGACCTTTGTGATGAACACAATCGCTACCATGATGCAAAATCATGATTAGACTCTTTATCCTCTAAGAAGTTCTGAGATGTCTTTGGGAAGGTGTACACTGGGCTCTTTGGGCTTTTGTATCATGAAAATTTTGCCAAACTTTCCAGTTGAATACCGACAATCTTCTCCATCCATTTTTACCTCATGGTATGATGGTGGTCATTCCATGAGGATTAAGTAGCAACCTAAAATTCACTTACTCACTCACTTGCACTATTCTGATCTGTTAGACCATAAATTTATGATTTGAACATGGATGAAATTCATTATGGCCTGCCTCCCTAACTAGGTTTGGTTCTCTCCCCAAAGTCATGCCATTGTCTTCTGTATATCTATCTGGTGGGGAGGGACAGGTTCAGAAATGTTATTTGATCTACATACTTGTCATATTTACTTGTTTTCCCAACCCATCCAACCAATGGTTTTTGATGACCCTCATGTAGAGTGTAACCTTACTTTTGGCAGAAAGTAACTCAAGTTATGGAGGCCTGGCACCCCAGCAGGTTGATTCTAACTTTCTCTTACTGATATGTTTCCTAAAGGTTAATTCAAAGTTGATTTGTTGTTTTTAGGGAGCTGGCCGTGAAGGACTCTATGTACAAACAGAGTTTATTGCCGTTGTAGCAGCTTTATTGATTTGGTGGAGTGCCAACAATGTTAAAAGTAAACTGCAGGAATCCTAGGCTGGCTCAATTGGTTTAAAATTTTTAACTTTATCCACAACTGTAAAACACTTTTTCTTTGTATTTAATAAAATTGGATACAAAAACAAGAACTTTGAGTAATGATGCTGAATTTTAAATAAATTGCGGTTAAGCAAGTCTTGATTGTGAATTTCAAGGCAACCACTTACTGATTTACAGAGTTTGCAGATACTGTGCAGTCATAAATATAATTACAAATAGAAAGCGTAAATATAAGTGATCTGATTCTTCACAAAATATATTAAGAATAAAAATCCATTTTACTGTTATAGGGTTAAATAACTGTTTCTCTTACATACTGAAATGCTATTAGCATTATTATCATTATTATTATTATTTCTACTATTGTTATTATAATAATTTAATAATAAACAATTATTGGCCTTAGTAGAGGTGAATATTTACACAGCCGTGTAGCAGCAAGGTAAATATCCACTACTTTCGCCAACACTGAGGTGAATAATTGTTTTAGTATATACCAAACAAATTTTAAAATAATAAGGTGCAATCAACTGAGTTGAAAATGTAAATTAGCCACCATAAAGAGTTTAAAGGCTGACGTTTTGAGTGTTAGCCCTTCATCAGAGCAATTGGCGAAAGGCTAATGCCTTTAAAGTCTTTACAGTGGTCAATTTATGCTTTTATCTCGCTTGATTAGACTAAATTACCCTGTTATACTCTCCCACCAATGCAGCACCACAATTCCTTTAAAAACGTACCCCCCTTAATCAAAAATAATTAGTCAATATACCAGAAAAATGGCCAGAAATAAATATCTCTTCAGTGTAATAGAGATGAATTATACACGCAAATCATTTCTGAACCAGCCAGCCAATGAGCACGCACAAAAAGGACACCTGAGTGGTATATACTTATTAAAAATATCTACAATCATTAAAGTAGGGGCTCATTACCTGTGTCTTGGCTTTGATTGGTGCCGTCAGACGCTAAAACAGGAGCCAAGAGAAACAGCTATGGCAGTTGCCTCTCCCTGATCTACTGAGATGAGAGTTTCATCCCATAGCTACATGAACACTAGTCCAATAGATGTTCCTGAAACCACCTTACAAAAAATACTTTATGGGTGGTACTCAACATAATTAATTATGGTAAGAAAACTTGTAGGACGTTGTACCTGCAGATAAAATATTTTCGCGATAAATATCAAAACATTCTTTAAAAATTTGAATTTTTTTTTCGGTTAACGAAGTCAGATTTGGCATCAGCATGGATTCGCTTCGTGTTCCAGAAGCTTCCTGAAGTCTTCGGAAGTCATCTTTCCTCGCTTGTTATAGTTCGGTGTGTTCAGTATCTGTGTCTAAACTTGCTGCATCTGCATTAATCATCACGTGATAGAAGTAATTTATTGTCTTTTCATAATTCTTGACTCCAATTCTTTCATTAAACCCATGGATTCGTTTGGCGTCCTCTGGTGTCAAAACTGATGGCATAAATCTGTAGACGGCATCTGTGAGCTCTAGATAATACTTGGTATCTGTGTTTGCTATCATAAGTCCTGAAAAGAAATCCAACGGGGAAAAGAGTTCTTAATACCTTGAACTAAAAAGCTTAGGGTTGTTAACAACACCTATAGGGGAGGAGGGGGTCGTTTGTCCCTCCCCACCCTGGACGAATAACTATTCATCTATATTCATCTTTTTCTCAAATTTCTCCATCAGTTTGTTTATTTTTTTTCCAAAACAATAAATAAATTGCCAACTACTAGGATACCCTGTGTAAGATTTGTATTTCAGGCGCTTACCTGGCGATACGCCAACTTCTGGGAAAACTTGCCGCACGCTTTGAGAAATAACCTGTGAGGAACACAAATTAAAAAATAAATAAATAAAAGAAAACAATTTTACATGAATGAATGTATGCATCTCTGACAAAAAATTAATTTGTTGAATTAGCTTTAAAGATCAAAGTAGATCTTTACATCGTTAGCCAAGGTAAGGAATCAATGTCTCTATCTGAACAACTGCACACCTACCCTTCCCTCAACCCGACAACAGTCGAGGGTTAGGGGAGGGTTAATGCTGGATTTGGGGGAGGGGTAGGTGCACAACAGTTAAGATACTGACTTTGATCCAATAGTCAAAGTACAACAAACTACTTACAGGTCACATTTCGACAGGGTCCACAAACAGCCAAATAAAACGTAACCAACATCAAATAGACACCCTCCCCTCCCCGAACTTGTTTCCTTAAAGCGCCCCTCCTCCCCCCGCCCGGCCATGACCTCTATTTCCGAGAGTTTCTTGCAGTAATGCTGTTTTGTTTGTTGTTTTGTTTTTTATGCCTGGAATACCTGGAATCCAAATGAATGTTTATCCCAGCTAGAGACGGGTGAGGGCTTGGCTGACTGCATCACACGAATGCTAACACGATCATCGTTAATACAGCGACGGTCATGCTCCAGAACCTACACAAGAGAACAAAACTTCATTTATTTTTTCCCTGTTATGTTTTGAACTTTTTTCTTTAAGTTAATCTGTGTTTTACTTTAAGCGTACTTCCCCTTGTCTGATTGGTTGAGAAAGTAGCACGAGTTTTCTACACCAATCACAGAGCGAAGCAAGAAAAACAAAACAATCCCGGAATACTTGCCACACTCAACTTAAGGTTGCTGTAAATAAGCAGAGCGATGTGTCCTCACCTCTTCAATCGTGTTACTCGGATGAACCCGATGGTTTACAGTGACTCTTGCAGAGGAGGGTATCACGTTGGCCTATTTGGTGGTGAAAAGAGAAAGAATGAAAGATAAAAGATATGATATCATATTTTTCTTGGTTGCACGCCTATATTGATTATTTTATTCGCCGACCTATCTCAATATCTACCACAAATGATGCTTTGATATTTGATCCCGGTATGATGCACATGAAAGCTTTGTGCAGGGTCAAGCAACCTCATTCCCAAGGTCCTCTCTCTTCCTCCTTCGTGAAAGGACCTTGGTTGCAGCTGGTCACGTAACTATGCAAAGAACGCCGCAGGGATGGTGGGTGCTCGACTTAATTTAGTCACTAGTGCAATTAAATTCTATCGTTTGGAGGGACAAATCGCGAGTGCTTTATGCAGCTAGTACTGACAAAAATTTTACACATGAGCCTCTCCCTCGATTTCAAAACATCAAAACGTTGACATTATTCAAAATAATTTTAACACAAACCTTGACTCCGGCGTTAAACTGAGTTACAGCAGTTGTTGTCCGAAGGAAAGCATTTGTTGTAGGTTTCTTCTCAAGGATTCTATATGGAAAGAACAACTTTTACATCAGGTGAGAAAACGTTCCTTGGAGTCTTCCCAAATTCGAACTACCCTCAGCTTTTCTCACTGAAACGGGTGGCATGTTGAAAAATCACAAGTCTCGCAAAATTATCATCCAATCTAAAAATCTCGTCAGCTTTTGCAATAAGTATTTAAGTATCGTATTTCTTTGAAATTTCCCGAGTGCAGCATTTCTGCGTACATCTAGTGTACCTTGGTAGGGAGTTCTCGTTGTTAGTGGCGAAATTCTGTATGAGCACATTGTGGTTTGAAAAACCGATAAAAATTGTAATCTAGTGCTTTTATAAAATATCAATGTTTTACTGGTACAATTCAACCAATCAGGGCGCTCGTAGTATCTCACTTATTATATAATAATTTGTCCCACGTTCGTGGCAGATCGATTGGCATGGGTAGCTATTTTTGATATGTAACAAACCTGACAACAATTGGGCTGAAAAGCCACAGGTTTGCCAAGATAGCCCTCAGATAGACTGGAACCTGGGAAATAAAGATACCTTATTAGCAACTTGCTTTTTAGAACTTTTCGGTGTAACACTCAAAGTTTATGAAAATATAACATACGCGGACAAATATCCAAATTTGGTATAACTACTCAGGTGATTATAGAGATGTGCGCATTCTGATTGGTCGAGGATTGCGTCATAGCTTGCTATAACAACCTTGCGTGATGTGATTATAGTAGGAGCGCTTAATTTCAAAATGACTGCCTCGCGTCATGCCAATTAAATAAACCCGTAAAACTGCATGTTCATCTTGACAATAAATATTGCCTATTTATAGTCAAAGGTAGCCTCGTGTACCTTTTTGTACCACTGTAATATTAGTTGGTATGCGACATCGGGAAATACAAGGATTTGTCTAGGAAAACAGCTCCATTTAAACAGCTCCATTTATGAACAAAAGAACGTCCTGGTCTCAATAAACCCAACCCCTTCAATCAGCGTTTTTTTGGTCGCCAGTGTGGTTTTTAAGTCAAAATGTGACGATTCAGTTTTTTTTTTCAATTTTGGCTCCCCAGACTAGATTACTGTGAATCGGCTTCAAAACAACCCTGAAACGCACTACAGTGCGTATTTTCCAAATCAAATCACAAAACATTTTTTTTTTGTTTGTCAAGACAACCATTTTTCGTAAACGAATCCTTTTGTTGCTGCTGTTGCGCAAAAGTATCACCGATGTACCTGTACATCGAGATTGGGGTACCTTTGGTATACTACGCCTTTCAGTTGGCTTTACCTGAGGGGCAAAATTTTCAAACATTTCCCTTACTGGACCAGTGGAATCAAATACAGCAGGAATGGGACAGGTCTCTAATCTATGAAAAAAAAAAATGGAATGGGGTTATTCAAGAGGGTAAGACAATCAGAAATTGGAGAGAGAGACGAAAGGGAAGGATGAAGAGGCCAAGAAGTTAATGAATGAAAACAATGGAAGAGGTAGACTGAATAAACAAATGAACGCAAGGAAAAACTAACCAAGAAACAAACGAACGAACGAACGAACGAACGAACAAAAGGTCGTCCGAGGGGGCGAACGAACGACGGAACGAGTGAACGAACAAGAAAGCGAACGAGCGAACGAACGAATGAACGGGGGCGAGCGCACGAATGAATGTCGACGAACGAGATGATAACCGAAACGTGCAAAGAAACGAACAGACAGAAGGACAATCGCACGCACGTTTGCACGCACGCACGCACGGATGGACTAAAACAGAAGAAACGAAAAGAAGGATTGGAAAACGGATAAAAAGGATGAAAAGTTGGAAAGCGACCAAAGCAGTTAACAACGAAAGTTATTACGAATTTACAATGCCAAAGACTTACTTTGCAACAGCATTTGACAGGATTCCAATACTGCTCTCCCTAGGTGGCATTGACGAATGCCCAGCTGAAGTTTGCACACTTAGTTCTAGCGTTATGTAGCCTTTTTCTGCTACTCCAATTCTATAGACAAAATAATACACACGATCACGGATCCAATATATATTGTTGCCGCCTTTTTGTCTCTTACGATGCTAATAATCAACCCTTTCACTCCCAAGATCTCATTAGTAATTCTCCTTACTATATGCCATACAATTCTTATGATGTTAGCTAAGAGAATTTGGTATTGGATCAACTAAATATCTCCTTATCGTTATTTCCTCTTTATTCTCATCACTTGTCTGCTTGATATTGTATTGATATCGTAAGGAGAACTTCACTCTTGGTCACTCGTGGGATTTGAGAACTAATAACAGCTTTGAACTATGAGCAAAAAGTGAGAACATTGGTGGCAACTGCAGAGCATAAGGACCTCTTCCTTCCTTGTTCATTCATTCTTTTTTTCCTCAGCTGGGGAGAATCTGGGAATGAGGCAAAATAAACCCAATTACAGCAAATGATAAGGTGGAGACCCATGCAAAGAAGGGACCATTCTCTCTTGACCCCACCCCACATTTCTCACCCCTTACACTCCACTCTGGGTGTGGCTCGCCCTTAAAACAGGAAAGATGATACCCATTCTGCAGGCTACAAAATCAGTGACAAATATTTCAATTTCTTTTACACTGACGGGAAGTGCCTTCTACCATAACTATTCTAAAACTCTGGTATATATTGAGTTGAAGAAAAAACATAGGTTTTTGTCTTACTCACAAAGCATATGACTTCTTTAGACCTGGAAAAGCATCTTTAACAATGACTGTTCCCTCATCGACTAAAAATTCCAGCTTCACTCCTTGAGATTTTAAATATGCTGCAATTTGCTTTGCTCCATCGATTCCTAGGACCTTTTTGAAAAATCAACTATCCACATAAGCAAACAAGAAAAGACAGCAACAACCTCCTTACCAAGCTCTCTCTTTTTCCTGTACCTCTCCACCCCTCTCTCTGTCTTACCCTAACAGTGGGGGGGGGGAGGGGGAGAGAGAGAGGGGGGGTGGGAAGGAAAAGACCCTTTGAAAGTGGTTGGGAGTCTTAGTTCATAATCTTCAAATGAGTTAGTATGATGTACTGCCATGTCACAAATTAGCATGGCGTGACATGAGATGGGTGTGATATGACATTTTGTGACATGAGGTAACATAACATGACATGGCATTTCTTATTAACATGACTTGTCACAAGAGACATGACATTTTGACCTGTGATGTGACATCAATACACAACATGTCACGACATTGATGTGACATGATCAAAGTGATATCATATTTGACATCACACCACACTTGTAAAAAGTCATGAGATTTATAACGTGACATAAAATGATTTTAAAAATAGCATGTGTGAACTGTCTTGACATGAGTGAGTACCATTGATAAGAGATTAAAGAGTTTTAAAATAAGCAGGGTTGTAATCAAAAACTGGTAGCTGGCTGTCAGACCATATTCTACCAACCACTTTGGGAATTGTGATCAACAACAGAAAATAAGTATTTTTTAACTGAGTCTATCATCAATTTACTGCAAAAAAGAGTTACTCAAATGTTTCCCAGAATGCTATAGATCATGTCTCAGAAAATTTCTAATTTTAAAATTTTTTCCAAGGGAGCACAAAACATGCCATACAAGCAAAATTCAATTCCACCACCTACTAAGATCATAAATCTATTTCAATTTCTATAGATAATTCCATGAAAAACCAAAATGCAATCAGAATAAATCATTTTACATCAACTCACCTCTTCATCATGTCCAAAAGCTAAGAAAAAGCTGCGCTGTGGTTGGTGACCTTGTTTGAGAAGAAATTTGAGAGCCTCCAGGGAGCCCTTCATAGGATGAAAAACACCAATGATTTACATTAAATTACTAAGTTGGAATTAGCACCTAACTTAGTATGAGGTTTGTAAAACTGTACTAAAATTTTATTCAAACAGAGCAAATCAGCCAAACTCTGCAGGAAATAGAAAGGATGAAAGAGCTTATATTGTGAATTAGAATAAAAAACCAGTAATGATGATGATAACGATAACCATAATGAAAGAAAGTGGGTCAAAAATAATTAGCTTCACACATTTACTGTGCAAACAACTAAAATGTGGCCTCTTCACTGACTTCCATGAGAAGGATAACTAACATTTCGAAATTATCTCCTTGCTGACAATAATAATGATGACATTCATCTTTCTCTGAAAAAAGACACCAATGACTTCGCGTATAACTCGGAGTTATGAGTGTGAAGATGGCTGAAAGTCAAAACCTTGCTTAAAACAGTCCGTTGCAAATTGCAGACACAGGATTGCTCAAGGTGGGCAATTTCGTGTCTGCATTGAACAAAGCCAACTGGAAATCAATTTAGATATCACTGATTGCATTTTCTGTTTTTTATGAGATTTTATGACACATTTTTGATGACCCTTAAACTAAGAACTCCTTGATAAAACGAAAGCACTTCCAAAGTACCATGACTCCATTTTTGTGATCCAAAGTTCCTCTTCCCCAGAAGTACCCATCTTGAACACGCCCTTCAAAGGGGGGTACTTCCCATGATTCATTGGTGGCAGGTACTACATCAAAGTGACCAGCAATCAGATAGGGCTTTAGCAATGTGTTACTTCCTTTTACGGAAACAAGCAAACTGTAGTTTCCAATAATTTTGTGTTCAACAAGGGAATGGCTAAACACATCTGAAAACTCTGCAAGAAATAGATAAGTCAAATAATTCCTTGCCATCCAATTTGTGTTGTACTTATCTTCTCATAAATTTTCTGAGCTACCATAGGTCAGCATACATCCACTAAATTCAAGCATCAAACTAATACATCTATTTTTTTTTTTTTTCACTCTAGAAAAGTTGGGCCATTTGAATTTGACCATTGCTAAAACATTTCTATTTTGGAAAGCTTTTAGTTTGTTTCAATAGTTCTAATCTTTATTGCCTTTGAATACTTTAATTTTAATTAGTATAGAACTTGAACTCATGTAAAGCGCTTCTGATTATTGTTTACAGTTTTAGCACTATATAAATTCCTTATCAATATCATTATCATTATCCTTATTAAGGATGACATTAATCGTAAATTAAATAGTTTTCACATAAACACTTATTAATTTCAAGTATTGTTCCATTTTGCATGTCTTCCCAAATAATAGTATGTTCTATTTCTGTATCTAAGAAGAAAAAACTCCCAGCCTTTCTTTGACAAACTTGCTGAACAATACCACACACAAACTAAAAATGTCAGATCATTACCCGTCTTCATTATGCACGACAGTTCTGGATTAAATTTAGAGGGCAATAGGCAGTCAGAGCAAACTTGCAGACTGTCAGATCATTTTTCACCCCAGTTACTTTACGAACTGTGATCAAAGACAGTAAAAAAGAACTTTTTAACTGATTCTAATATAAACGTGTCCCTAAGCATATTTCAATTCAGCCACCTTCTCAGTTCAGATCATACCCCTATTACGATTTCTCTGACATCCCTGCATAATAGCTGAGGATTATAAAAACACCTTTTTGCACCATGAAATGGGACAGGAGAGAATCACTTCTGAGTAACACTTAAATTCAATTCCGCTATTACGTACCAGCTGTTTTTGAATTTACAGTTCAAAGCTAATGAAAACTAAGACCAATTAATACACTGCAGTATTTATATATATCCTTGAAATCAGCTAAAATTTGAAAGGTCTGCCCTAATAGAGTAAGAAAAAAAGCAGAAAATCATCATAAATCTTGCCTATGCAATCCTCACCTCTCAGAATAAACTGAAGGAAATTGTGTAACTCTTCTCGATTGTAATTTCCAACATTCCAGGAAACCGTTTGGATAGAAAGCGCAGTTTGAAACCTTCTCTTCACGTCCTCGTCTACATTGATATAATCTAGATCACTTGGTTTGCATGGGTAGGCAGCTGTTGGCTGATGAGAATACATCACAGTTCTTGCGATAATTATTAAAACGACTGTGAAAAAGGCTGTCAGAGAAAGGTATGAAAGTTCGCGAACACCCGCCATGTTTGAAATCCTCTTCACGTTATGAGCCAGGCGTCCCTGTTCAGTCACGCAAATTTACTAGAGCCTAGTTTCGCGAAAAAATGGAAGGGGTAGACTGGTGAAGAGACAAGCGCGGGGAACGAAACGTGAACCGCCTCGCCACCACTCTGCCATTGCTGTCCCATTTTGAAAAAGTATTTAACAATGCTGTATGATTTGATTCTCAAAAAGTCGTTGCAAAGAAAATGAAAAAGAAAAAAGTTTGTGAGCCATCGAGGATCCTAAAAAATGACATTAATTTCAAAACAGACCACAATTTTCTAAAGATCCCCACTCATTGGCAGTCAATTTTCCACAGTCCTCCCTTTATACTCTGTAAAAGACGAATGATCCCCCTCTGTTCCCCTGAAAACCAAGTGACACCCACCCCCCCCCCAAAAAAAAACCTCCCACCCCTCCCTACAGCGATAAATAATGGCTGTCTTCTTAGGCCGGAGTTAAGAACCTTTAACTATGACGGCGGTGGCAACGAGGTCATGGTTAATCAAAAGATCTAATTTCTTAGCCGACCACTGCAAAATAACAACATGAAATCATCAAAATTTGCATAACCTGAGAAAAGAAACCCCAACGGCAAATTATTTAAGTTTCCATTTGGAACTCATATGGGACGCTGCTCTCTACGTTAAGCTGAGATTAAACACATCTGGATGGTAAACACGTCAAGCAATTTGCGAAATTCTTACAAAAAAATACATCTTCATTTTTTAATCGATGTCTCTCTTGGCGTTACCGTCCTACCTACTAAATGTCCTTATTAAGATTATAAGTGATTTATGACTCAAAGCAAGAAGCTTCTTTTCAATCAACAAACATGTAAAATGATCTTCATCTTGCCTGCAAATTCTTCATATATAATTTCTGCTATATAGGGTGTATCCCTCAAAGTGATATGTGCCAGGTAGGATCTCTATCTGATTGTGGTAACAACACATCTCGCGGGGGGAGAACGCGCAGGGCACACCGATTTTAGAACAACATCCACGTCTCGTGTGTTGGTGTTTCGATTTTCTAGTGTTACTTTGTTTTTCGCGTGATATGTTGCATAGACTGGAAAAGCAAACAATATTGATCTAAATTTGTTTGATAGCAAGAGAAGACGATAGAACTTCGGATGAGTTCTCGTGGAAGTTAATTTAATGGAACTCATGGCGTAAGAAGAGGGAGTTCCAATCTTTTATCTATAACTTTCACAAATGCGTCACAGCCAAAACTTAGAACATGCAAGCGACTTTTATTTCACATTTAAATTGTCTGTTCAGTTTTCAACAGTTATCAACAAATCTTATAACTTGAATCACCTGCAATCACTTACAAACGAAAGCACTTAAACTACTTTGTCTGAAATGCCTTTCTATAGTTTTTTTCGCTAAATATAGTATTATTCATATCTAAAAATATTCAAAATTATCCATATAGTTTAGTCTACATGTTTGCATCGACCATCGAAGAACACGATAAAGAAAGAAAATAACAGAAAGAGCGATTGTCTTAGGGGATGGTTTCGCGTATCAAGTTGACTTCGAAGCCCCGGGGTCTCGTGATAAATTATTCTGAACGAGCAGGATTGGCGACGCGCCGCTGAGAATAACTCAAACAAAAATAAGCTCCCTATTAAAGATTAAAACATTTAAAGGGCTGTGGCAAATTAAAATGGTGCCGCATTTGCTGATTTCGAACTCTTCTGCACGCAACAATCAGCGGTAAATTGGTTAAATTCATTTACGCTGAGACAGATGGCAACCAAATTAACATCGGGTTTCTTTCAATGCAGCTAAGTTTAAAAGCGACGATGAAAATTTGAAGTAAATCGATGGCAAATCTCGATGATTTAAAAACGTTTCCTTTCTGCAATCGCCGCCGCTGTCATTTTTCATGTTGTCAAACGAGCATTTAATTTCTAAGGATGATACTTTATCAGATATGGGCTGCGAGTTTTCTTTCTCCGCTAAATCGATTGATTCGATCGTCTCGTCAATCATTTCGTTTGGGAAAAATGTCAAACCGTCAGTCGCAATTTGTGTAGTCTCTAGAATGGTATGCTCGCTTAAGGGTCGTGCGCTCGGTAGCTCTACTGTACCTAATCGTCTGATTCTGACGATTCCATGTTCTTGAGCTGAATCAAATGAAGATTCCTCGCCACTCTTTGACAGTCTAGGTTGCGAAGGCGACATAATAAATCTAAACGAATCGTCAAGTTGAACTGACCCGGGTATTTTCCTCTTTGTCATTCCTAATAAGGTCTTGTCCGGGCCGTGGGCAAATTCCTCGCTATGAAAAGAAATCTTCCTTGACGTTTTTTTAGGGGAACTCTCTGGACTGTTCGAAATTGTGGGCTTGAAAAGCCTCTGATTCTCCTTGAGTTCCATAGGACTGTCTTTGTCACTTTTTGATCGGCTCAATTTTCGCCAAACAAAAGAAAAAGATTCGTTAATAGAACTGATCTTTCTTAAGTGACTTTCACTTTTATCCAGAGAGTCGTCAAATAACCCATCCTGTTTACGTTTCCATACGCTAGTAAATATTCGTTTGAACCCTCTTTTGAAATCCCTACTGAACATCCAGTAGATAACGGGGTTGAAGATACTGTTGGTGTAGGTGAACATTCTACAGATGATTCCGACTATTGGTGAGTGATCTTGGTCCTGTCCGTTCCCGAAATCTGACCAAAGCCAGAAAATCTCGTTGGGCAACCTGCAAGTGGCGAAGACTATCACAACCGTCACGAACATTTTGGTTGCTCGAATGTTCTGACCAGCTTTGCCGACCAAGATGTTGTGTCTCTGACCTAGTGTCACTCGGCTGGCTTTACGCTGGAAATCGGGAGAGATCTCCATTTTGCGGTTGTTTAAGTTTCCATCTACGGCCACTCGACTGGGACGTTGTTGAACCTTCTCAAAGATACTTGCACTAGCGCGCAAGTTGCATAAAGTCATAGTGTACATCACGCTCATGAACGCCAAGGGAATTCCATACTGACCAATAAAAAGCACCAACGTGTACACCTGCCTGTAGGAAAACAGCGGCCACGTTTCCTCGCAAAACTTAGTGGACTCTTCCCCAACCAAATCCAGGTAATAGATGTACGGCAGTACAAACAGCAGAGCCACTAAATGCATCATCGCTATGGAATATTTTACTTGCCTCGAGCTGAGTCTTTGTTTAAAAGGATGCATGATAACTCGATAACGATCCAGCGAGATGATGGCCAGTGTCAGAGATGCAGAAATGGTCGATAACGTCGCAAGTGGCCAAAGAGTTTTGCAAAGGACTCTTCCAAAGGGCCAGATGTAGCCTTTTTCTTCCAGTGCCAGATCAAATGGAATGCTTGCGAGAGGGGTTATTAAATCGCAAACTGCAAGGTTGAGAATGAGCAGATTTGATGGAATCCTCATTCGCTTGGTCTTGCAGATGACGATCATCACCAGAGTATTCCCAAGAAGACACAAAAGAAGAATTACAGAGTACACTGTGATTTTGAAAACCTTAAACGGAAGAGCTTCCTTGTTACTATCTTCTGTTAAATTTACGTTGGCCGCCATTTTTCAAATAACAATATCCAGTAATTTCTTTGTGGATCCAAGTCACGTACCTGTTGTAAGCTTTTCCGAATTCCAGTATTTGCTTACAGGTGAAGAAAGCTCGGAATTCTATTGTGCACGATTTGATCTGCGTGACGAGAAAGCTTTGCGTCCATAAGTGTCTCGCTGATCACGCGAGACAAACAACTTTAAACAGGAAGTGGAAGATGTGATACATGCGGAGGAGATGGCGCTTCTGCGATCAGCCTAAAGCGTGGAAGAAGAAAACACATTGATAAAAGATTGAATGCATCTTGTTTTGACAGAGATTTATTATCATTGTCGAGGGCAAGTACCACGATGATAAGATATGAGTATGACGTTTAGAGCACTGGTGATTAGCGACACGATACAAAGCATTTGATTTGCTCTTGGGAAGACTTTAGTCTCAGCTCACAGCGGGACAAACTCATTTTCAAGATAGCAACATGTTTTACATGTGGCTGGGATGAAAAGGTTACAACTGAGGGCTTTTCTCGTGCTTCGTGTGTAATCTAGATACTTCAGTCGAACAGTCCCGTGTCATTTACAAGTACGTACTTCATGCCCTCTCGAGTGGTGCATGCCTTCTTCAAATAAAGATTTGTATCTTGAATAGTCTATCGAATGAAATATGTTCTCCAGGTCATATTTGTTTTTTTAATAGCTGGATCATTTAACGGGCCATGCTCAGTGACTCAATTTCATCTGTTTTCTAAATAATGCATATCAAATATAGCTAACTGAATTTTTTTTGTTTTTAAAGTTGGTAAAAAAGATTGATATGCGCTACTTGTCTTTCGTTGATGCTTGTTATGTCTATTTCACGAGCTGTGGATATCATGTCGCCTTAGGCAGTTAAATTTACATTTAACAACTCGTTAGAAAATTGTCTTTTCAGTGATCTTAGAAATACGACTTTGCAACCATACAGCTTTGCTCGAAATAATATTTTCAAGTTTCGCTCTAAATCGCGAAAGCAAAAAGCCGGAATACTGACCTGCAAATAAGATATTTTTCGTAACCTTCCATCAGCTTCAGTGTCAGTGCTAATCCGTTTGCTCTATTTTTGTTTTCGCCAGTTGAAAGAAATGATAGTCTATTTTTATGGCAATATATCAAAACAAAATTAGGCGACGTTTGGCCATGGATGGCGGGCAAACAGGCTTTTGCGGAATGAATGCCATTCAAAGATAACATTGTCGGTGTGAATTGACACAAATCAAGCCCCAAACCTTAGAAAAAGGGGAAAAATAGATTGTAGAACCGTAGGAAGTATGGAGGAGATGGAAATCAGCCCAAGCGCCCGAGAAACAACTAACAAGGTATCTCGCTAATACAACTATGTAAACACATCAGTTGAAAAGAAGATACTCTTTGGTTTTTCATTGATATATTTTTATTTCAGGAGAAACGATTGAAAACCATAAAACAGCTGCTGTTTAAAGTGTCAAAAAAACAGAAAAAAAAAAACGTGAACCGAGTGCTAATGAAACTTCTTGCTAATCCTTTTATGACGATTTGTTCAGTAGAGCACGACATTTACACCCTGACATCAGTGTTCATATTATCCATACTGTTCTCTATACATTTCCCGGGATGCTGACAAGGAGAACTTGTGCACATTCGCCATTCTGTTTTCTACACACATGATAAATTTCTTTCCTTCACTGCTGAAAACAAAATCTACGGTTAAACTTTTTTTTGTCCAACTAACGGTTTCAATTAGTCAATTGTTAGGTCTAACGCTTTTCGCCGTTTTTAGGCCAACAGTTAACCCTATGGAGACCCTCCGCGAGCCAAAGAAAATTCCTGGATAGCCTGAAAATTTCAAGGCGAGGATTTTCTAATCAAATGACGAGGGAAAAATAACCCAAATAAATAGATAAATAATGAAAAGATAGATAAATCCTAGGATAGATTAGACACATTTTCTTTATTTTAACATTCTGGCTTTCGTCACTACCATCATTTAGTCAGATTGCTCTGGTGAAATCAGGCTTTTGCTGATAAAAGCTATAACGAAAGTTCCTTAATAGCTATTTCATAATTAATGTTTAAGGTTTTATAATCAGGAAAGGGCTTCCTCCGTTGTTGTATTTATGAAAAACGGTGTTAAAAGTCACGTTCTGCGACTCCATATACCTTATCGACTAGTTGCAAGATACAATCCCTGAGCGAAAGTTATCTTTGGCTACCGGTTAGATGCCTATCCGATAAACTCGTTGAGCTCTGCCGGACAAAAATAACTGCTCTCTGAGATTTTTTCCCCAAAACAGCGATAAAAGCTCCTCATTTATTTACCATTATCTTGATAATATCCGGTATGCAAAGATCTTAAATGGGCATCAGATGGAACGTGTTTAAATTTTTGGCAACCCTTAAAGAAAGATTTGACCAACGAAAAAAGGAAAGGGTATAGTCATGAAAAAACGTTTCTGTGAGTATTTCCATTCAACTGATTGTTTAAAGTTTTATCATACAGGAAGTAACAACATTTTTTCCTTAAAAAAAAAATCGGTAACAAAAAAGAAAAGAAATCGTTAGAGCAAAGAAAAAAAGGGGAAAGTATAGACCGTTTGTAAGACTCCTACCCATCCCTTCCCTTTTTTTTTATCACTTGTGGAACAACCCCCCCTTGTCCACGTCTGGGTGGTCGAATCCCTCTCCAGGACATCAATTCCCATGGCCGGCATCAGCGGCCAATTTCAAATATTTGTGACCAGAAACGTTAAAACCTTAAATGTTCCGTTAAAGCTCTCGAGAGCTGCACGTTTTAGTTCCAATCACTGCTTATTTTTCAAGAACTGGATTTAACAGAAAAACGCCGACCAACTCATTTTATTTTCTTTTTTTTTAATTAGTTCCGGCATTTAGTTCTATTGTGCCGGCCGCTGTAATAATTAACACGCAAATTAGTTCGCATGAAGAATGCCACAAAGGAGGTTTTCTTCGTAGGTGATAAAAATATTTTAGCGATTTAAAAAAAATTGTATTACAAACAGATTGCACCTTGAAAGAGTAATTATTTAAAATATTTTTGCAGAAATTCTTTTCATAGTTCCATCATTTATTTTTCATCCAGGTTTGCAGATGCATCGGAACCGAGTGTTTCAAATTGGATCCGGGTAAAGCATATCATTCAATTGTTATCGAAAATTCACGCATTGTTACCTCATATATTTTTATTTATTCGTCTAGAGAGAAAAAACGGTTCTATTCCTGATAGAAGAGAAGGTAAGGAAAGAATAAATAAATAGAGCAAAAAATTTTTTTAACCAGGAACCTCTTTTTTACAGAATAATTTTCTCAAAAATTAAGACGGTTAAATCTAGCCCGCTTTATTACATGGTATTCACACTAAGAATTCTCGGTCATAGCTGCAAATTAGTCAATCGCTAAAAACCTTGGACAAATTTTTAGGATGAAATTTGAGTAACTCGCTGATGCGGTAGAAAATCTACTTAGACCACCCTTGCTAAATGAATTATTATTTTTTAAATAATAATAAATAACAATTTTGTACCTGCTTGGGCTACACTGGAATAGAAAGGAGATACTTCATCTGTTGCCTAGTTCCTTGACGTTTTATTCGTAAATTAGAATCGGCGGTTGTAAGCATATCCATGGGTAAGGCATCAAGTGTTGCGGCTCTTCGCATTAAAGTTCGATTTTATTAGACAAGTTACCTTTAAGAGATACTAAAAAGATTATCGTTGTCTCGTTGTTATTATCCCCAGCTAAATCACGTGATTTCTGGTGCTTTTTTACAAGAACAAAGTGTTTCCGGCAAAACCTGACTTATTTTGCGCAACAAATTTGTTCTTAACAATTTTTTTTTTCGCCCCGCTCCCAATGTATGGTTTCTTAACTCAACTGATAGTATCTGGGAGCCCGCTGAAGCCTGAATTTTTAAAGCTTTTTTTGATGCAATTGCATAAAATACAGCCCTTTGCGAGGATCACTGCTTTTCCTTTATGCTTGTTCTTTCTTTCTCTTTTTAGCTGTCTTGCATCCAAGGTAGAAAGAAGCCGCTAATCGCAATCTTCTCTTGCTTGGACCGTCAAATCCATTTATCACCTTATTCTTAGGCGTTAACGCGCGGAAGGATTAAAACTCCTTTCCAAGGGTGCGCTACCTAAAAAATCAACGTCGCTTTGCACGCGAGGACTCATAGATCAGATCATGGATTTAATTCAACATTCAAACATTGCAGTATTTTTTTTTTAAAGAATTGTGGTTTGGAAGACCATTTATGTTAGTAAAATACCGGCCAAATTAACTATTTAGCTCAGAGGCCAATACGATGTCTTCTATCAAGATTATAAAAGTACTTATCATCAAAACATTTCAATTAAATTTTTCCGTAGATCGCTGGTTTGATTTCGCGTAAATCCGTCTCATCTGTAGCCCTTATGTTTCTCCATTTTATTGTCACAACGCTGGTGAAAAAGGTTGGAAGTATAACCCGTTAAATTCACCTGTAGTTCCTCTGTAGCCACGCGAAAAAATTGTAAATTATTGAATAGTTTTTTCGCTTTCTTGGCGAAGATCTCTGATATTTTCACACGATACTCCGCATTAATTTTCTACATGTCACTCTCGCCCTCCTTGGAGTTGTACATTCACACAATTTCCGTCGCGATAACGGCAGCGGGTTATTACGTTCGAAGCCCTGAGGCCCTGTTAGGAATTTCAAGATCTTATGCGCGGATGGACTGCTGTAGATGACGATCAGTCCTCATCGAAGGAAAACACGGATTTCAAGGACATGTAACAACTTACACTCAAATTATTAGCTCTGTGTCGTGACGAATTCAGCAGTGCAATAAGAACAGACGTTACAGACGGGTAGAAGTTTGTTTATCAAGCTAATACAATTTAAAGAAGCCGGGTGAATGATTTTACCGCAGCAGCTCGCTCTCATCAAACAGGATAAAATACGTTGACATCTCCAAAGCTTATACTTCGTAGCAAAGACACAATTTTTGTCGAAAAGATGAATTCTAACACAACATTTAATGCAAAGGACACAACGCCTTTTCCGTTCTATTCCAGCCAGCTGAATGATGTCACTGATGCGTTGAATGAGAGCTATGCAAACGTTTCTACAGACAACCCAGATACGGTGCAGTCACTCGACTTCTGGATCGTAAAGATTGTGCTTTACGGCGTTATTCTGCTAGGAAGCTCTATAGGGAACAGCCTTGTTATTTATATCATCGTCAGTAACGTCCGAATGAGGACAGGATCCAACTATTTGATAATGAACTTGGCGCTGTGTGATTTTGTCACGCCGGTTTTCAGCATTCCTTTTGATTACTTTCTCGAAGAATATAACTACATCTGGATGTATGGCTCAGTTATGTGCAAACTTCTGTGGCCGTTGACAACCATGTCTTCTACGTCGGCTGCTTTAACCCTTGCAGCGATCTCGCTTGATCGCTATCGCGTGATAATGCATCCATTTCGACCTCGTTTGACGAAGTTTAAAATAAAATGCATTATTGTCGCAGTTTACGTGTTTTCACTATTGGTGGTAACTCCGTACTCGTACGTTCTCGATCTGAAAGGACACCAATGCCGTGAAATATGGCCTGATATCTCGTACAAGAAGTACTACACCCTAGGACTTTTCCATGTGCAATATTTCCTTCCTCTGATTTTTATGGTGTTCATGTATTCGCTTGCGCTGAAAAACTTGTACACTAGCGCAGACAAGACTAGCGGCCAGAAAGCCGAGCAAGAACCGGCTGCTGTCAGCCGAAAAGTCAGTCGGACATCAACGAACTCACGGCGATCGTCAGTAGCCGAAACTGAGCCGAAACTGAAAAAGGTTTCGTCCACGGTGCGTCTGGTGCGCAAATTCTCTTCAACTGTCAGGAGAGGGAAGACAGAAGCAAACAAAAGAGCAACTAAGATGTTTATGGCCGTCGTAGGAGTTTTTACTATTTGTATGTTCCCCAATCAAGCACTTTGGCTATGGGCGGACTTCCATAATGAGGGACAGAACCCAAGGTTCTTAAACGCGGTTATAATCTGTTGGCTATTCACGTATGCTAATAGTGTCTGTAACCCAGTTATCTACGCTGTTTTTAGCCGGGACTTTCGTCGAGGCTTCAAAAGAGCTTTTCGAAAAGTGTTCTGTTTACACCGCCGCAAAAACCGACAGGTGTATAAAACAGACATGGTGGAAACTTTGACAACAGAATTAAAATGCGTAGCTTCTGGAGAGACAGAGAAACGAAAAAGAAAAAATGCTACTGTCCAACGACCTAAGCTTTATCTTCTGTGATCGTTAAATTAATGCGCAGAAGAAAATAAGTTTCAGAAATGATTTAATGTATAAAAGGTTTGCAAAGTATCTATAATGTCAGGAAAGAAAAGATCACCTTACAGTAACGAACAAAATTATCCTTTGCTTTAAAAAAAAAAAAGCTTTTAGCTGCATTTTTCTTAAGAAAAAAAATGGCAAAAATATGTTTAACAAAGCAAATTGCAATGAAACATTCGAAGATAAAAACTTTGGGCGTAGAGAAGATTAACTTTAGATAGACACTTGATTTGTGAACAAGGTTAAAACAGATGCTAAATTATAGTTGGCGACCAATGACGAAATTTTTGTCCTAAAAAAGAAAATACTAGACAGATTTCTGAAGCTATCAACTCTGATAGCTTTTTTTACTGTAAAACGAAACAACTATATTTGTTGTGTTTTTTTTTAATACGGCTCCCCTTGTGGAAGATTTTGTGGATTAACAGAAGTTTCATGGTCTAGCAAGCTTTTAGCAATGGGAAGATCTTAAAATTCTTATAAAACACTTAGATAGCGTGCTGGAATAGCACTTAAATTAGTAATTTGGAGGTTAATATCAATGGTATGTTGCACATAGAATGTCTAGTGTTACCTAGTATCAACTTGAGCAGCTTTATGTTTCCAAGTGTCACTTGAGATTTCTCCGCAGCTGGTGAAGAAAATTTGTCTCATTAGTAAAGACTGAGGGATGAGTAATTGCATTTACATCCGACGATGTCTGTTCCATGTGGTATAATTTGTTTTTGTATTCCAAAAAGAAAGTTCTGTAATTCTGCATTCTGTCATGCACATGCACTCGTTAAAATAGACAGAAAGTCTGCTCTATGATTTATTTCACTTTTAAATTACGATCTACTATTTCAGATCTTTGTCTACAGCCGGTAGATTAAAAAAAAAAACCTAAAAAAGCGAGTAGAAAATTCATACCTCGAATTATCATCATTTCTACTGTTGAGAAAATTAGTTAGATTCTAGTGACAAAAGATTTAGCTCTTAAACAGATCCATCAACATCCATTAGAGGCAGTTCACCGGTTGACTTACGTTTTCATTGAAATATCTTCCGTTTTACAGTGACACGTCCTCTTACAAAATTGGCCATTTTCGAGCTCCGAGAGCCCTTGTAAGACTCGTATCTTTCATGGTAATAATATACACTTAATGCGTGGCCCCGAGGGAAACAGTTAGTTTTGTTTCCCGAGGGTCCTGATGTTTCCTGTGACGAAGTTGAGAGAAACATCCAGACTCGAGGGAAAACAAAACTAACTAGTAATGATTTTAGATATATGAAATTCATACATTTGCACTGCGGTGAAGAAACGAATTTAAGAGCTCCTCGCAGCTAAGAACACTACTGAACCAGTAGTTGAAAATAGGACCTGAAAAAAATTTATTCATTCGTTTCTTCACCGCAGTGCAAATATATGAATTTCATATATCTAAAATCATTATTCATCACTTGGATGGTTTATTTGGACCCAACATATTGACCAGCTCCCAGTTGGCTCGTTAGCTCAGTTGGTATAGCGCTGCACCGGTATCGCAGAGGTCATGCGTTCAAATCCCGTACGGGCCTGAATTTTTCTCAGGTCCAATTTTCAACTACTAGTTTTGTAGTGTTCTTAGCTGCGAGGATCTCTTGAAAACTAACTAGTTTCCCGAGGGACCATACATTAAGAGCTTTGTTATATATTTAGACTATCCCTTAAACAATCATATGGCAAAAACGTGCTGTTGTATTCGGCGCACGAGAAACAACTGCGCAATTGTATCCCGGTTGAGATGCATTTGAATTTGATCAGGGGCACGTGACCAAGAATCAATCAAAATGCTCGTTTTATTGAGTGATAGTCTCGGTAGATAACAATGAGTGTTATATGTACAAGTTATTTGCTCATAAAATAGTTTAGATCTACCCTCCTTGGTTTGAAACAGAGACAAGAGACATCTCGTAAAGTTGGGGCACTCGACGCGCTCGGAAAGAAGGAGCACCTCACGATTTTTTATTTATCTAGTTTTGTTTTGAATCGCGCCACAGCCAGCGTCGAAAAAGAGGGACTATTCGTAGTCTAGACCAAGTTTTCAAGAATCACAACTTTTGACAGACCTCATCCATAGCTGCACTCCTGTTTCAGGCAGTAAATCTGTAGAACAAAGCGCGAGTGAAAAAACGAGAAAGACCTGGGTCGGCTAGGCAATCCGACCCAGACCTCCATGAACGCCTGTAGTTCACAGAGGTTCCGCTGCCTCAAGTGATAATTAAAGTGACAAATCACGTACATGCGAAAGTCAATCAAACATCGTCATTCTTCTAATCCATCCTTTGACCCACGATGTTATCTTTCGAGTTAATGCACTTCCATTCCACCCTGGAACCTGATCATCAAATGTTTGAGTTAAAACTACTTCACGTATACCCTGTAAGTCATTTATTAAGGAGAAGCTTTCCACTCCTCGTCTTCATCAAGCGAAATGAAAATAGAAAATTCATTTCGTGCAATTTCTCGCATACGGAAACAACTGTTGTTGTCTTACACTGCGTGAACAAAAACAAAACGGAATTTAAAGAGCAAACAAACGTCAAATGGATATTCTTTTATCTCATCTTGATTGCAATGATAGGAAGAAGTGAAATTCAGTGAGTCTCGCAAAGCGGTCTTCTTTTAATATTTGGCATAGTCCTTCAACTGTTTACTTGGAATCTCAATTTAATCATACACAACCCTTGAGTTGCTTAGGTTGAAGAAACTTTGCATTTCACTCGAGCTTTGATATGGTAATTTTTTTTTCGAGTGAATACGTCTGTGATTTAAAACGACGAACGCAAATTGTAATCCTTCGATGTACGTGTTCATTCTTCGTCGATATTTAAAAAAAATACTCGGCCTATTCGTGATAGCATTTTGATTTGGCATAAGGTTGTTCACTGATTGTGATAAAAACTTGTTTATTTTGGATAAGATACAAAGTTGTGGAGTGAAAATCTTCTTCGAGGTTAACCCCTAGCGGGAATACCTGCACATATGGACCAAGTGTGACGAGGTTAAATGGAAGGGGAACAACTTGAGCGTGGGTGGTAAAAACTCGCCTCAAACGATTATGCATCGTCACAACTACAATACATTTCGAAAGAAACTTTCATTTCCACAAGCTTCTTGCTGTTGTGCTTAAAACTCGATGGTCTACCAACTAATTTAAACATTTTATGGCCTCTTTTGAAATTACAATTGATTTTTTTATCTCTGTATTCCGTTACGTGCCTTTCCATTTTCATTTAGGGGGAGTTTTTTCTCACGAGTGGGAGAATTTTTCGTCATAATCGCGTTTTTTAGGCGCCGGAAAATGTAACTAGCTTCTAAATTCATCCATTCGTTTAGAGGACCGTTTACATGATTTAACAGCTTATTTCAGATACTTTATTTTAGGCCTAATTGACATCTACTGATTGTACAATAAGCTCTGACGTAGCATTTTCCTTTCAGTAGGAACAATTTCACACTTTACTAGATTAGAGACTTTTATATGAAGACATTTTGTCGCTTCTGGCTTATTACTTTTATATTGTTTTTGTTTAATATAAAATGCAAAATAGGTATATTTCATGTTACAAGAAGACGTTGTAAACACAAGTTTTAGTCGCGAATCGATTGAATAGCTGCTGGGCTACCCCGGTAACCTTCCTATTCAAAGTATGGTTGAATTGGTTGAATTTAATAAAGGTTAATTTGCTAAGATATTTAACATGTGGCTTGGCTTTCAAATTGATCTGGGATTAGAATTTTCAATGAAATTTAAACAAAGGGTTGGTAGCCGCTACCAAATGATTTTATTAAAAGGTTATGAGGTCAGAGCTTGCTTCCCAAGTAGCCATTTATCGCCTGAAAGATTTCTCGCGAGAAACAAAGGTTTTTGTACTCTACCGCTTCAATTCAGAGAAATAAAGTACGAGAACCGTTATTATTTTTATGATGTGTTCATAAATATTCAGGACGAAAACGCTAACACGCGAGAAGATTTGTATTATGCGTAAGTTTATATATATCTCTTAAGAAAAAAGGGATTTCTGTCACAGGAGATGACAGTACACTTCAAAGGAAAGATTTTATCGAAAGCCTCTCAAAGATAACCTCTCAGGAATAATGCGCTTTAAAGTGTTGCGTGTCGGAAAACAAAATACGTCAAGCAAATTAAAACATCGAGTGAAACCATGGACAAAAATAGAATTTACAATGACTAAAGATTGTTAGTGATGCGCGAATCACAATTTTTGCATCACGCAAGGCCATTTTCAATAGCGGGATCTTTTCCTTCAATTTACCGATTAACAGCCACAAAGTGGCGACTGCAATTTAACAATTAAACCAGTTAATCTAATTTAATCTGAGTTTTGGAGTTAATTAAAGTAGCCAAGTTTTAGCATTCGTTCCCGAATACGCTCGTGAACCATAGGTCATCGTAGGACCTTTTTAAAAACTTTTAAAAGATTACGAATCAAAAGTTGAATTACTTTTCAGGATATCGAAGCCACGAAAACGTAGGCGGGCAGTTTGCGTGCGTTATCTGTCAAATAACAACATTAATTCCAGATTTTTCCTTTAATCTTTTCTTTCTATTTAAAAAAGATTTCAGCTCTTCCCATTAAATCAGGATTTTCAAGAATGAGATTACATCAAGCAGTCTTTTATCGGTTTAAGCAAGACTTTGACGATTTGAAAGAAAAACTAAACAGAACTTTATCAAATAGCACTAAACGTCATCTTTACACCATAAAGGGCGGATAAATGACGCCAAATATTTCCTGCACGGTTATTTGAGTCACCCGCCTGTTATTGTGAAATGATAAACTTTCTAACGCACACAGTTAATTGTTAAATCGCGCGCGCGCATTCGTAAAGGCGAAACATTAGACACGCATCGAATCGTGACCCTGCACTTCAGAGGTTTGGCCGATCACAGCGACGTAAACTCGCTAAAAGCTGCTTCGATCGTCAGTTGAGTCAAATGGAACCCTTCTGTGCCACCAACTATTAAGTTCTAACAGTGAAGAAATTATAAGTTCACAGTACGTTGGTAGAAGTGTCTTACAGCTTAAAATGAATGACAGCGAGGCAGTCTCAGCTGAACCCAATGGAAGTGCTACCACTTTGTTGCCACGTGATGTTCTGGGAGAATCACAAGCCTTTAATATTACAAAGATATTCTTCTATTTCATTATCCTGTCCGCGAGCACTTTTGGTAACAGCATGCTCGCTCATATCATCATTCACACGAGAAAGATGCAAACCGCAAGCAACTTCCTGATCTTAAACTTGGCCCTCTGTGATCTAGTAACGCCTTTGATAAGCATCGTGTTTGATTTTATCCTGGAAGAAAATAATTACGAGTGGATCTATGGTGAGGCCATGTGTACAATACTTTGGCCTACACAAACTTACTTTACTTGCGCGTCTTCGTTAACCCTTGCTGCAATTTCGCTGGATCGCTACAGAATAATTCTTCATCCTTTCAAGATCCGGCTCTCGAGCAAACAGATAAGTTTTCTAATTTTTCTGGTACATATATGCTCGCTGGTCGCGGTCATTCCTTACGGTTATTTTCTCGTGCTGAGAGATGGTTCTTGTGGGGAAAACTGGCCCAAATTTTCCTACAGACAGGCTTACACACTATTTTTGTTCCTAATTCAGTACGCATTGCCGCTTGTAATAATGATATTTATGTATGCAATGGCTGTCCGAGCGCTTTGTCAAACTTCGAAGAGAACACGCGACAAGTCAATACGTGCAAGAACTCCGCAATTTATTGTCAAGAAACTTAAATTTGAGGCCAAACAGCAAGAAATACAACGTGGACTATCTAAAACCCATTACACATTTATCAGACGACTTAGCAAGCTCAAGACACGGGACATTTGGAAGACTCCTAATGCCAGAGCCACAAAAATGTTCATAGTCATTGTGACTGTCTTTGCAATATTTATGTTCCCTAATCAAATTGTGTGGATGTGGGCAGATTTCGGCGGAGGGATAAATCATCCAAACTTCAGCAAACTTTCCATCATATGCTGGTTGTTTACATACACCAACAGCGTCGTAAATCCGGTCATTTTTGGTCTGTTTAGCAAAGACTTTCGCAAAGGTTTTAGGAGGATTTTTCGGAGCCTGCTGCGCTGCGAGAGATTAATCGGCAAAGAGGATCTTGTAAGATCACGACGTCAAAGTACTAGCAAAACTCGTTCAGAAACTACGGAATCACATGGAATGGATTACGGGTCGTGTACAAAGGAAAGCAACTTGTCCTGTCTTATTCAAGATGAACAAAAGACACCCATGTTGGAAAGAAAAACCTATCACCAGTTTAATGAAATGTCCCCACCTTCACCTCAACCAAATTTCGCTTCGAACAGAACCGCGATAGAATCTTTCGGCAAGCAAACGTTATCGAGCCCGCCAAGGGCTTTTGAACTTGGAGATGCGGCAGCTTGTCACTTTAATGGCCCTCTAAGAGAAAATTCTGTTGAACAATGGCATACTTTGTCTACTTCAGACTCTCACATTTTGACCGATGCGCTGAACAGTTCGCCGGAAACTAACTGTTAGCGGCCCACCGCAAGATTGATGAACACTAGAAGGGGTCAGACTTGTTCATCACGAGGTTATATGTGAATTCCGACGAGATTTCCTATCGGCATTGTAGAATCGCCATTGGACGTATAATTCACGCTGTGTTGATTTCAAAAGAGTTCTTAAAGGAGCAATGCAGTTTTATGCTCAAAGTTTTCTGATAACGAAGTAGCTTTGCACATCAGATTATAATCCAACACTCTATTCGACTGTCGCCTTATTGCTGTTCTGAATCGTCAAGTGTTGCCCAACTGCAATATCAGAGAGGAAAAAAGGCTCTCTACTTTACTCTTATAACTCATCTGTAGCTCATAAAGAAATCACGCAAAGCAAAAGTACGAAATCTAGGAGTACTCCCGCGAAGAAGCTTGAAAACGGTGGCTATCATTATATTGCCAAGGCAAGCATTCTTTGGTAGGAACGTTTCTTGAGTAACACCAAATGGCGTCATTTCTTCAAATTTTTATAATAATCTTCGTGTTCTTGGTTTGATTCCAAAAATTTTGGTTTATTTTCCCTTTTAGGATTTCCACCCTCCCACGTCTTTCTTTAATACAGCTTTTCATTATTATCTCATTTGACGAGAGTTAACTTACAAATTCCGGAAAAGTGGTTAGGAAGTTGGCTTGTCTTTGTAACCATAAATACACTTTCTATAATTTATTTTCAGTCTTGAGAAGCAGTCTTGCTCTCCAAAACAGCAAATCTAAGAAATTTCGAATCAAAACGCAACGCAAGGCTTTTAAAGAGCAAATCCTTGTATGCCTCAGGCAATGCAACGCGACCCGCCGTACAGCAAAATTTCTTAATCAACGACTTCTTTGTTGCACAAATGCATGTCATTCCCGAAATATCATATCTTTGTCGACGTCTTTGTTACTCAAGTGTCTCGATGAGAAAGCGTTAGTCATGGTCCAGCATCATTATCAGGCAATACCGTCAGTATGGAATGATTGGAAATATCCAATAAAAAGGAGGCGTGGGAAGATCAGATCTTAAGATTCAATAAAATTGTGAAAGATGCGTTCGGAAAAAATTCTTCCTTTTTAGTTAGAATTGATTTGCAGTGTACTCTTAGTCGTTCAACAACAAAATCAAAATAACATGAAGGAAATGAAGAGAAACAGGCGAACATATGGGAAAAGAGAGAATGAAAAGGTATAGGAATCTTCGGCGGGGTCAAATATACAATATGAATTTCCATCAAAATCAATGCGGTTTGTTAACAATTTCAGCTCACTCTTGGTATTTCATGTGTAAAAGACTTCTAATGTTGTGGAATCATTGTGTTTGTAGTTAATTTTGATGTTTTGTCGATTTTCGTTTCCCATAATTACAACACTGTTAAGCATGTTTGGAAGTAATCAGAGAAGTCGTCTGCCATATTTAAAATCAACGAGGCGGCGTTTTAGACAGAGGGGATTATTTTATGCTGTTTTTAGAAAACGTTTTGTGTACGGGTCGAGTGTGTTTCCTGTTTAAGAATGTCCTGCTTTTCCGTTCCGTCCTCGCACGAACAAGTTTGTCGTCGATGTGTTCTAGTTGAGATGATTAAATTTTCTACACCAATCAACGTTGTTGAATGATAAAGTGTTTTGTTCAAAGGAAATCTCTCGTTCCACAGTCATCCTCTGCTTTTCCATTATATCAAGCTATGGGTTCCTGCTATTCAATTTCCGGATCTTTTCTTTTCACATCTGCCAGAGTTCATGACCAATAAATGTGCGTTCCTTAAAAGGGAAGCACTTTGACTGATACGATAATCTTGTTACAAGGGCTTTGCAGCTTTTAAAACTACTTAGTACCGTTAGAACTGAGAGCAGTTCTCTAGGCCGATAACATTGCTTTCAGCAAGGAATAAACTTCAATAACTTTGAAGCTGCTTTCAGTATAGTGTGCGAAAACGGCTAAGTTCAACGAGAACTTGTGTGGCGAATGTTATATGCGTAGCGTGCAAAAATGGTTGGATGGCGAGGCGAGGAATTTCGTATCAATTCTGTCAATTCAAGCCCAGGCATTTCTAGACTATACGAAATACATTATATGGTGGAGGCTATGGATTTTTTTTATTGTTTACAGATATTGTGACGGGCTGACATGACAACTACAATTGGTCAAATAATTTCGTAGGTTTTCGTCATTCATCACGTTTGACTTTGCAGACATCAGGATCCTAAAATCCGTTCCGGAATTCAGCTGAATTTTGAGCCAAAAAAAGGAACTGGATAAATCGAGAGAGGAAATCATCATCGAGCTCTCTAGATTTTATCCTGGACATCGTAGCTAAGAATAACGAAAACAAGACAATTTTCGAAGAAAATTCTCCACTCTAAGATTCCGCGACGGAAAGATAGGGTCAAAATAATAGATTCCGAGATTGTAAAATTCAACGAAGATATTGTGATACCTTGACGTTTGGACATTTTGTCGACGCCGACATTTATAATTCCTTAGATATGGGAAAATCCTTAATTTCTTTGCCTTGACGAAGTAAGAAATCGAAAAATCATGAAGAATTGAAGGAACGAAAGCTCTCTCATACGTTTCAATCGTCATTACCTTCGACAAGGCTTCATCGAACAACACCAAGGAAAAAATCAACAACAGAGACATAACTAAAGCTTGAGTCAGTTATAACTCTAGTGTCTAAATAAAAAATCTCTATTCGGCTAAATGAAATCAGGGCTGAGATCTCGAAAATATTGTTCGATGAATTTCGGCCTGTGGGGTGATTTTTAGCGTGACTCGTAAATTGGATTTAAAATGGACGGTTCTAGTGTTGAGACTTTTGTTAACGAGATTACATTTCGCCAGTGCGCCCAAAGATTTCCTGTGTTTCGGGCTAGAGTCGATAAAACTTAGTCTTAATAATAATAATAACAAATAATTTGATTAATGTCTTATTCCGGGTTGTTCTGAACTGAGCCGATTATCAATATTTATTTACTGAGCTCAATTACGCTAAATTACAGCAGCTACCCCAGTATTTGAAATAACGTGGATACTATCTGGCAGTTGCATGTAGAAATAAGATGTAACCTCAACTCCAACTGAAGAAAGCCACCAGTATCATGTCTCTGAATCAGATATATTCAATTGCAAATATGATCTAGATTCACGCAAATAAAGTACATTTTAACCCTTTACACCATAACATCAGTATGCCAAAATGTCCTCCATACATCTGTTAAGATGCTGACAAGCATAATTTGTTTTACAATCATTTACTCTGAAGCTAGCATCTGCGTAAAATGGCTATGCTTGTTTTCCAGAATCCTATTTCAAACTACTGGAAGTAGTTTAGTTTGGTCAGTAACACAATGCACAAAAGGAAACGGCTCTTAGTAGCGGAGGAGCGGAGCAGTAAAAAACGAGGTGGTTTGGGTCGGGTAGTGAAGCAATGTTTCCACGGGACTTGACCCAGACCTCCCTCGGTTTCGGTCTTCAACTAGCGATAAGCGTTTCCTATTTCGCTCTGTTTTACTAAATGCCTGAAGCGCAATTTTACAAACGCTATTTAATGAGCGCAAGAGATGATGGATATGTATTGTCTCGCATTGAAGAACCTTAAACAGAATATAGAATATAGACATATGCGTGAAATTTCAAGAATATTCTTCCGGCAATATTTTATTGGCTTAACATTCACAAATTATACAGAAACAAACCATAAAGAAATTGAGTTTGAAAAGAAAGCTAGCACGGATTTTCACTGCCGCGTTTTTCCATGTAACAGGAATTCATTTTATTGGATTTATGTATTGATAATAAAATACAGACAGTTTATAGACAGCTTGCGGGACCAAAGAAGATTAATGTGGCCTTAACCACAGACGCGAGCTCTTCGAACATTCTGTTATATATATGTTCGTGGGGCCAAGAAATAAGAATTACGCCTCGCGCGAGAACTCCTCTATTCAAACTCTAACGAGGCAAGCTCCTCCTAAAAAACCCTATGTTTTATGTTAATGACAACGCAAAGTAAGTGGAATTGAAGCTTATTAACGTTCGTGAAATTATGCGACAGCGCAAATCATGACCAGCTCTGATGTTTGTAACAACATCTTTTCCGCAGACACATGTTGTCTAGACAAAGTTAACGCGCGTGAAATTACGCGGCAGTGAAAATCCAAGCTTGGTGGGTGAAAATAGTAGCCTGACACCTCTCCTATGTCTCGCCATGCATTGCGATGCAGTGGTCACTTAGTGATGAAATTACACTTCAAAAATAGTTGCTGCCACTTAATTTTCGATAACCTAAATATTTAATGTCCTTATTCCAAAAATCGTGCTAAACGCATATCGATGTTGATAGTTCCGGCTGCATGTTTGTTTATATAGTCCAGCCCTGAATGAGCGAGAAACATTCTTCGAGTTAATGAAATTGTATCATTCAGATACGCTTACGATAAATATTCTGAGATAGTGTTAAACCTAATCCATTTTCCAATACTGACGAGTGACAACAGATGCTCAAAGTAGACAAGAAAAATAAATATTTATGTTTATTAAAAGTGGCGCACACGACTTAAAACTTTTAAGAGCGTTCTTGCAAAGCTATCTCAACTGATTATGGAATTTTTCCACGTAATGAAAACGTTTAAGTTTTCATTTGACCATTTAGACGTTGTCGCCAGCCAAGGATGTTTTAGATATTTTGAATTTTTTCCTTTTCTGTTTTCTCACGTTGGTTGTTTTGTGTACTGATACGGCATTGTATTGTTACGCTCCTAGCAGCGCTTACGTTGAGCCCAAGGGGGGTGGGGACCCATACCATGTGTGAGGCATTTGATTTGCCAGGAAAAGTTTTGGTCCAAATTTCCACCATCAGGCCCGAAAATGAGTAAAAACAGATCAAAAGTTGAAAATGAGATCACTTAAGGAGACAGATATGTAGTGTTTAGTATATGAGAGGCTAATATGAATTCCGAGTTTTGAGAATTTTACCGCGTGTTTTCCAAGATGGCCGCATAGAACACTTGTGATTTGGAAGCATTCCTCCTTGCAAAAAAGTCTTATTTCTTTATCTTAAGGCCCAGATTCTTGATCAAATTTCTGAGAGCGGATGGGTGCAGCATACGAAAATGGGATCAATATCAGTATCTGGGCCACTGCCCACCTACCCCTCACCTAACTCAACAACAGTCAATTGATAACAAGTTAGGGTTAATGTTGGGTTAGGGAAGGGGTAGGTGGGCAGTTGCCCAGATACTGATATTGATCCCAAAAAGGACCATCAAAAGCTACTAGCATGGTGAAACTATGAGACCAAAATGTCTCTGATTCAGCATTGTCTTGTTGTGTCCGACAGGACACAAAGCGTGTGGATTAATGGCTCAATTTCAAGTCCCCTCACTACCAGACATGGCGTACCATGAGGATATATTATGGGGCTTTGCTGTTTCACTAATTTGATCATCTTGGTGTTTAGAGCACTTGCAAATTTTCCGCGGTACAGGCAGTTTTCTTGTTGTTACTTTGAGTTATCATTGGCGCCTTGTGAAATTTCTTTTGTTCTGATTAACCGTTGATTGTGGTTTT